TCCTCCTCCTGTTGTGCCAGCTTTTCTGCTTGTCTGTGGTATGGAATTGATCTATCTCTATCTCTATCTCTATCTCTATCTCTATCTCTATCTCTATCTCTATCTCTATCTCTATCTATCGATCTCTTTCTATCTCTACCTCCTGACTTTTAGAAATAAAAACATGCCTCATTTGACTCAGTTACTCTCTGGTTAGTGTCTTACTTTTCTCTTTCGTTTCACAGTGTTTGTGGATTGCATGTGGTTTACTGCATCATCATTCTTTCTCTTTTCTTCTCTGCCATGTGTCATGTGCCCTGATACTGTAGTGACCCTCAAGACACGAGTTCAGTAATAACCAGTTGTCAAATTCAGTGGTCTCCTTTCTGCCCCCATTCTTCCCGACTTCAACACTGTGACATTCAACATTTGCCACCCTTTCTTTTGATGCTTTTCTCCTTCTGTAGTTCTCACTACCACCAGCAGTTATCCAGCCAGGCACATCAGTATTCCTATAAATCGACTGGCCCTGAATATTCCCTGGCAATCTCGTCTCCTTCCTCTAGTCAATATCTCCCTTTTTAAAGTGGTATGTCACAAGTTTTCCTCTCTCCTCAAACCTCCCACCAACTACCACTCCTCACCCCTCCCCCACTGGTGACATTCCTTCTCGCTTGCCTGTGGTTACTTCAGAGTCAGCACCTGCAGCCTCAATACATTCAACTCCTCCCCTCTAGCTCACAAGCGGAAGTGGCTTCCTAGCTAAAGCCAGGCCCTCCATCTTTGCTCTAAAGCCCTCCCCTCCTGCCATAGGGGCACCTTTAGGGGAAAGAACAGATCATCAGTGATGTGTCTTCGGCCTTTCCTGCTCTATTACATCCTCCCTGTCAGCATTTAGGATCTCTTCCAGCTTAAAAAAGAACCTTCCTTGCCCTCTCTTCCCCTCTAGTCACTGCCTTCTCTCTCCTCTTCCATTTTAGCTAAAGTTCTCAAAATCAAGTCCATGCTCCTGCTTCCTCCTCTTGCGTTCCACTCAGGTTTCTGCCGTAAGGCCCTGCAGAAAGCTCCCTGCACGCCATGAATTCTATATGCTTTATGGGTATGTAGGGCTCCCTTAAATGCGAGGGTGGTGATAGTACTGTCGCTGTGAAACACCTGAGGAGCACAGATGGATTTAGAAAGTCGGCCTGGCAGGGGTGCGAAACCAGACCGCTGGGCTCAGAGCCTGCTCTAGATCACCATGCCATCCTGTAGTCCATGCCTCAGACTGCATGGTCAATGTCTCAGCACTTAGCGCAGTGCCTCGCATATAGCTGGACATCAATAAATATGAACACATGTTGCCGCCATGGTTCAGGTTCTTATTTCCTCACCAATCAACAAATTCTTAAAAAGTGCATGGGCTTGGGTTTATATCTATTTTTCTAAAAAAGGGGCATTGTTTTCATGAGTTTTTCACAGGAGTCTGTGTCCAAAAAAAGTTAACAACTTCTTAATTCATTCATTTTTCTGTTTTCAGTTTCATTTTCACCAACGTCCTCCTCCTTACATCCTGTACATTGCCCTTAGATAACTACATTGTCAATGTTTTAATTCTGTCACTTGTAAAAACATAGGGACAAATAACCTCCTTCCACCCAAAAAGTCCTGAATGCCTGCCTACTCAGCTGGCTGTCTCCAAGATAATGCTCCAGCACATTTTACCAGTACTATCTCCCATTTTTCTCCTCTTTTCCAAATGGGTCTTCTTATAATTTCAAAACTTCTGTTCTAATCCACCTTTCAGCAGTTCATTCGATAATGTATATACTATATTCCTGATCTAGGCCAGGCACTATGCCTGGGGCTGAGAACACAAAGATGAATACAACACAGTCCTTACCCTTGAGAAACTATCAATCTGATTTGGGAGACAGATGTGAAAATAAAATCCCCAAAATATGAGATGACAAACTATTCATGGAAGTTATTCCTGCTTGGAAGTGGAGTGAAGCTGAGAGTAAAGGAAGCATTCTCTTTCTAAGTTAAATAGGTCTGTTTGCTCTACGTGTTTATTTTACAAGCATGCATTAGTTTTTCAACCAGGAAAAAAGTCACATTAGGTTACAATTATAATTAATTCAATTCTAACCACCTGAATTCCAAGGGGGGGGGGGCAAACCGTAACTCTCAAAGAATTACTAAAATGAATGAGGAAAAAACAATCAGCCAATAGAAAAGAGGGCAAAAGCTATGAGTAGACACTTACCAGAAGATAAAACATTTATGGCCAATAAATATATGAAGATATGTTCAACCTCATCAATCATCAAGAAGCAAAAACAGGCTACAATGAGATTCCACTAGATAGATATCTGAATGGTGAAAAGTAAGAAATCTGACAATACCAAGTGTTGATGAGGATGTGGATCAGTGAGATCTCATATACAATGTTGTTAGGACTGTAAATTGGTAAAAAAAAAAAAAAAAAAAAAAATTTGTAAACAGTTTGGAATTATCTTCTAAAGTTGAAAGTTCCCTTAGGCTCTGACCCAGCAATTCTACTCCTATGTAAACATGTAAGAGGATTTTATAAGAACATTTTTAGTAGCACTTTGCAATAGCGAAATCCTGCAACCACCCAAAATGTTCATTTCAGGAAACTGGTTGTATTATGTGGGGTTCCTCCAAAGCAGAGACTGGGACAAGGACCTGGGTGCTGGTTGTTTATTTGGAAAGTGATCTCAAACAGCAGTAGTGAAGGTGGTGGGGGCCGGGGGGTTGGCGGGGAGTGAGGCAGGGGAGGAGAAAAAGTCTATGTAATGTAAGGATGTGATTTCACGGAGACCTCAGAGGAGTACAAAATGTCTCCCAGAACTGTCCATCTGAAGGATGGAAGTCTGGGTCATTCATCCCTTGGGGCACATCCCCTATTGGTCGAGGGTTAATTATCTTTATTTTCAGGCTGGCCTAAGAGAGGGCTGAAAAGGCACTTGTGGCTTTTGAGAAGGCCCTGAAGCAGAAATTTGGAGAGGCCCACAGCTTAGCATTTGCAGTGCGAATGGTCAGTAACTGGGAGCACCCATGAAACCGGCCACCACATATTTAGCTAAAATCAGAGGTGAGCCAGAGGGAAGAACACAGTGTACCAAGAGCTTTTGCTGCAACGGATAAAGTAACATAAGCACATTCACACATTGGAAAAGTCTACAGCAGCTACAATAAATCAACTCAAATACATGCGACAAGCCTGAGAAAAATCAACACTACAACGTGAAAAGTGAAAAAGAAGCCCCAGGGTAGTATGTGGGGAATTATACTCTTTTAATAAAGAAAACAACTGAAATTAACAATATATGTTTGGAAATGTGTATACATGTCTATATATACACGTATACTTATGTATGTAAATACATAAATTTTTGAAAATTAAAAAAAAACCCCTTTTCCTGTGTATTTGAATTCCAAGAAAAAACTACTAAGGATTATTAAAGGAACATATAAAGAAATCCTTAGGATCAATGAGAAAAGGATAAACAATCAATAGGAAAGTGGGAAAAAGATATGAACAAATATTTCACAAAAGATGAAATACATATATAGCTAATAAGTACATATAAACACATTCGATCTCAACTTTTTCAAACAGTAAGGTATTTTAAGCTTAGAATCTTTGTAGAGTTAGGCAATTTTTAAAATTAACTTTCTTATTTTTAATAGAATATTAGTTTTTTAAAATAAAACATTTTTAAGAGCAAGAAAACCATAAATACAAGACTAAGCATTGAGTGGGGGTATATGTGTAAGTAGTCAATCCTAGTTTTTAGGGTGAATTATAACAAAAGACGATCACACATGAGCCAATTAATATAGGGTTCTGACCCACGGATTTTGGTTAATCCAATCCTGCACACCCAAGGTCTAAGAGAGAAAATAGTATGGTACAATAAATACATTCAGGGGTACTTAGAAGATATACTGATGACACAAAGGAGGGAGCTGGAAGATGCTCCCTCATTCCTGGGAAGGTCAGGGAAGTGTGACCAAAGAGATGACCATTAATGGGCCGAGAAGGATAAGGAGAGGATTGCCAAACTGGGGAGGAGGCGCAGGGTGTGGCATCACACTCCAGATGGAAAGAGCACTACGGCCATAGGTACAGAAGTGAGAGACTGGCATTGACAACAGACTTCAGACAATTAGTGCTGGCAGAAAAGGAGAATGAGGGAGGGAGAAGCGAAGGATGGATGCGTTAAGATAAGGTCCACAGTAGGAAGGTTAGATGTCATTCCCCGTTATAAGCAAACAAGAACATCGGAGGATGGTAAGCAGGGTGCTGACATGATTCATTTCAGAAAGATTCTCATGGCAGGGTAGAGGACTGGTTGGAAGGTGCCGGAGGCAGGAAGATCAATTAGGATATTATGATCTTAGTCCACGTGAGAAATACCGAAGGCCTTATTTGCACAGGAGCTCTGGTGTGTGTGGGCATGTGCGGTCTAAAACAAGAAGTTTTTAAGTAGACTGGCATAATTTTATTTCCCTGTTCTCCTGTGCTTTTCTTTATAGCATTTATCACCCTTGACATACTTACTTATCTATTGTCTTTCTCCCCATTAGCATGTAAACTCCACTAGAGAAAGGATGTTAATCTTGTCCCCTTGATCCCCAGGACACATGAGAGGTACTAAATAATTATTTGTCCAGGGCATGAAGTTTACCTAGGAAAGAGAAATATAGGGTAATAGCCAATAGGGGAAGATTTTCTAATGCTCTGGTCTAATTTAGCTCATACATATCCCCTATAATCTTTTCCCGAGCTCAGACTCTAGTTCAGTATTTGATCAAATAATAAAATGTTCTCTCTTCTGGCCCTCATCCTTGTCTCAGCCTGAGTTATCAGTCTTGCCTGCCCCTCTACTTATGTTACCTGCTCTCTGCTTACTTCTACTTCGTATCTCTAGAAACCCTGGTTTTCAGGTTCCCCTAAAGACCTTGGTCATATGCTTAGACAGTTCTCACATTGTCATAGGATCACATACCTGCTAGATAATTCTGCCTTTCTTCCTCCAGATCCACTCTCCACCCTTCTCCAGGGCTGATCTTGAAGGACAGCAACATCTGGGCTCACTGGCCCTTAGCCTTCCTCTTGGGTTCAGCTAGATCTGAGAGTGAGAGAGAGATTGGTAGGGATGTACTCCTCTAAGTTCCTATTGGCCCTCCCTCTCCTTCAGCTATTGCTCTCACTGAGCACAGGTTCCATTTCTTTGCCCCTTCAGGCCTATGGTTGATCATGGCTTTTCAGCAGATGCCAATCTTGTTGGCGTTCCTCATCCCTGCCCACAACTTTGTAGGCTGTCCATCCATTAATTTGCTTCAATTACATGTTTTGATGCTGATCTTGGCTGATTCAAAAGCAAAAATGCAGACTGTATCTTTTTTTGTTGTTGTTACAAAATTCACTCTTTCAAAGTGTACAATTCAGCAGTTCTTAGTAAAGTTGCGCAAACTGTATCTTTTTCCTTAAATATGTAATTAAATGTTTTCCAAGTTACTCTTGTCTGAATACTCAATAGTAAGTTGCACAATGTTACACACCAAAAGTCACTTAGTGTTCATGTTCGTATGTTTCAGACTTTCACTATCACAAATAAAGCTACAGTAAATGTTGTGCATGTGGCCCTTCTCTTTTGGGGAGGATTGTTTCTCAAGGGAAAGTTTCTAGTAGTGGTATTGATGAGTCAAAAGAGAGTCACCTCTCCATTAAGGTGCTTCAGAAATGCCCTCAAATTGCTTTTTAAAAGATTATACTAATTCACATTGCCACAGCTTTCTCTGAATGTACCAATTGCATCATCTCATTAGCATTGGAAAGTACAAATATATATATGTATTTTGCTAATGTAGCAGGTGATACTACCATTTAAACTTATTTGATAGCTACGCCAATCCTAAGCCATTTCAAGCCATTTTTAGCTGAATGGGAATGGAAAGACAGCGGTTTTGAGGGGATTGGGTCGAGAGAGAGTAAAGAGATTTGCTTAATATTTCTCTTTCACCATCCAGCCTCTTCATCCTGTTTATATATCAGTTTCTTCCTCTTTAATGTGCTATGTATCTTCAGGGCCTAGCATAGTATCTGCCACTGTCCCGAATTTTAATAAACATTTATAAAATGGATTAATGATGGAAGAAAGATGTTAAAATATATGTGCACAGAATTGGTCAAATTAGTCTATGAGCATTAACAGTTCTCCTTTTAATGGACTCTCTGAAATCAACACTTTCCGCTCCCTCCAAATAAACATATTGATGACCATCCATGGCCTCCCGATTGCTTTGGAGTAGTGGTCCATCTCTGGAATACCTACACACTTCTCCCTACTCACTGATTTAGATGCCTAACAAGAGTCTGTTGTGTTTGGTCCTAAATCTGTTTATGATAGCTGTATGCTAAAGTATAATTAATTTAATTAAATTGACATAAACATAAGGTAAAACATAAGTGTGAAAAGAGCTGTTTCTATGAAACGCCAAGTGAAAGCTTTGGAACTATTAACTAAAGACCAGTTGAAAATTTCTGTCAAAATAGATGTGGGTGAGACAATTACAAAGATTTTTTTTTTTTTTTTAAAGAAGGTGCCTCTATTTATTTTGCTTTGCAAAAATTTTTAAGTCCTCAGTCAACTTTAAAGAAAGAAATTGGAAAGATTACAAAATACATCATGGATATGATTTAGGTAAGAAAGACAATTCAAGAACTCTAATCAGCACTCTTGCTTAAAGAAAAGGTTTAGCCTCACATGGAAAAGTAGGCAAGTGGGTGTTCCTAATAGTTTTTAAGGTGTATATATGTCATTTTTTATAATTTGCTACTTTAATATACTTCCCCCAATGAACTGATGTACTATTGGGCCAGATCTAATTAGTTTGGGTAGGCATAAATCCTGGTTCCCTAACTCTTTTGTTTCCATAGATGGGCAGGCAGGGGAGAATTTGTCCTGGTTCTTCCAGGAGTGACTTACCTAATTGGTGAATTTGAATCTGCCTGCCCTCAGAGAGGGTACTATCTTCTCCCATCTGACACAGTTAAAGTTGCTAGGCCTCTGCAAGAGGAAGGTTGGAGTTCTGGGGGAGCTAATTTTAATTCAGGGAATATTAAAAAGCCTATTGGTCATCATTCAAGCCACATTCTTCAGTTCAGTTTTATTGGTAATAAAGTTGACGTTTTCATATTTTCCATTGGTTCCAAACTTATAAGAAAGTGATGGTACTCACTGTCCCTGTAATACTCCAACGGTGGTGAATAAGATGGCCTCTATGTACCGTCACAGCCAAGACACATTATTTTCCCTTTTATTTCAGTCTGTGATTCTGCTCAAACGAAAAGTTGTCTCTGATTTGCAGGTGGTAGTCTAGCCTTGTTATGAAGTCCAATCTGTATCTCAGGCTAGACAAAAAACAAAACATTATGGCTCTTGAGAATCTTCTGATATCAGGAAGTATTTACTGAGAAAGGAAGAGGAACCCAAACATGGCTCCTGCCAATCCTTCTATTCCTTCCCCCATTGCATCCTGAGAATCTTACCTGTCCTGTTGATTTATGGGTCAGGTAAACACGGCAAACTTAAGGTCACAACCTGTACTGCTATTTAAACAAAAACTGCAAACATAGTCTAGTCTCTTTCCAATGCTCTCTAAGGGATGTTGTAACCTGTAGGGGGTCATAAAATCCATGTAGTAGGTCCTAACCACTATTTTAGAAGAAATAAAAATAATAAAGTTAAAAATATCAACATGCAATGGGTGTATACATGTCAAAACAAATGTACATTTTAAGTATACGTGGTTTATTGTATGTCAACTATACCTCAATATAGCTGTTAAAAGCACCAAAGAAATCCTCTTTAAAATAAAGATAAAGTAGAAAAAAAAAAGAGAAAATATTGGCATCCTTTGCATAAAATAAGGATAATATTTGAGGAAAGTTGTCTTAGAGGTGTATCTGTGTACGTGTGTGTATATTCTGGGTTGAGATGTGAAATGTATGGAGGACATTATGGAGGACCACAGTCAAAATGCATGCAGAGAATATTATTAAGCCATAAAAAGGAAATTCTGCAATTTTCAACAATATGTACGAATCTTGAGGGCATTATGCTAAATGAAATAAATCAGAGAAAGACAAATACTGTATGACCTTACTCATATGCAGAATCTTTAAAAAGCCAAGCTCATAGGAAGCTGTAAAAAAAGTTTGCAAAGCACTGGTTTAAGGTGCACATTTTTTTCTTCCTTCTATTTTTGTTCTTTGCTAATTCGCTCTGAAACTGCTGCCTTGTAAATACAACTTGTAGTAATTAGCAACCAGAGAAAAGCAAGGGCCAATTCTCTATACACAGCTGGAATGAAAAAACTGTCACTCCTACCTCATTTCTGAGTCAATCAAGTGATCAAATATTGCGATGGAAGGGCTGAGATCTAGAAGAACCCCATTATGAGGTGACAGGAAACTTATCTACACAGTTTAGGTTCCAGTGGTTCCTCTCAGCCTGCAAATCGCAAAGGGTTCGGGTTGGCATTGAGGACCACAGCCCTCGCTCACCTTTCTAGACTGACTTGCCTACCTACTCGTCTCCCCAAGAAATCCTGTGCTCCAACCAAACTGACCTCTTGGTGTTCCCAGAACGCTCCATTCATTTCTCCTTCTTTGTCCTGGATTGCTGTGTAGGGCAGCCTCCTCAACTGGCCCATCTCTGCTCACCACGGTCTCATCCATCCTTCAAAGATCCATTTCCAATTCCCTTGCCTGATTCCTAATGTCTTGCTTTTGAATTCCACAAATATCTTTCAAAAAATACCTTTCTTAAAAATATTTTAATGATATACTTAAGAATGCCATTTTTCCTGGCTTTAAGAGAAACATGAATGTACTGTAAAAACAAGAAAAAAATCCCATTTTTTAAATCTATGCATGATACATACATGTATATTTATATATTACAAGCTGGTATTATAGCATCTTATATCATCTTTTGCGTCAAATTTTGGAGTAGTATATGTGAGGTAGCATCCAAGGTATAGAGACAAAATTCCTGTAAGAGCATGACAGAGTAATTTTTGTAAATAGGAAACTAGGGCCAATGATAATTAAGAGAAAAGTAAGTTCCTGCATCAGTCCTTGTAGATAGCTCAGGTACCCTGGTTTCCTACTTTAAGTGGAATTGGGTTTGAGTCCACCGCACTTGTTTTAAAGGACAACGACCCCAGCAGGCCTACGGATGACTCGAGGTCAGCCAGGAAGCTGATGATACATGGAAGCATGCAGGGGTCAGTCAGCACGCAGGTCTCTATCTTTACATATCCTTTAAATCTCGTAGAAAGAGGTGTGCCTTTCCCCACCCTTATTTCTCCGTTTCCTTTTCTGAGATCTCGCACCATTAACTATCCTATCTCTTATCTCTTATTATCCCCTCTCAGCTCAGCTCCTGCATTGGGGGCGTCCTCCTCATCCTGAAGCAAAACGAAACAAAACACCTCTACTCTCAGTACCCCTTGAGCTACAGGTCTCTCTCTCCCTCCCTCTCTCTCACTTTCCCCCGTCCCCTCCGTCCCTCCCTCCGTCTCTCTCTCTCCCTCCCTCTGTAATTCTCCACCCCCACCCCACCCCCACCCCCCGTCTCTCTCTGGAAAGAACCGCCACCGGTTATTGCCTTCGTTGTTGCTTCACCATCACACACTCCTTACCCAAGTGCTCAACTCAGCTCAGTGACGGAAAATTCGTTCCACCCCTCGTGCAAAGGGGCGCCTCTTTCCTCGTTAGCAGTGGGTGCCCAGTGCCAGGCACCAGGGCCTCCTCTCCTTGCTCCTACACCCCGACCCAGCTGCCACCTCAGTGCCGCCCGTTTCCAGGTACGCTGGCTTCTTGGGACGCCCTACCGGTCACTTCCCGCCCTGACCCTTTGCCCACCTGTCACCTTGCACGGTCACAGCCTCCCCAGGAACCCAGAGAGCTCCCGGTGCACCCCTGGGAGGCTCCCGCGCGCGGCTCGTCCCAGGCCACCCCCGA